AGTTATTATTAATATTACACTTTGCACTTTCCTCTTTTGTGTGTTGCTTATACATATGTATATGCATAGATATGTGTTTATATATATATAATTTGTTGCCTATTTTTCAATTGTGTTTGTATGAGAACTGCCAGGATAAAGATTTTTAAAAAGAGTGGAAAATAACAATTAAATGAAGAAAATTATTGCAGCTACCATATACAGAAATTATAGTAGATTTTCCCTGCCTGCCATTGTCATACTTGCACTCATTTTAACACTGAATTATTAATTGAAGTTTAACACTTATTTCAAATGATACATGAAAAATTATTTCCATATAGTTAGAATCACTTCTGGAATTGTATACATATGGATAAAATATGTATTTATGTAGGAAGATCTCAATTCAATGTAAAAACACGAAATAGATTATGTTCAGTTGGGCATTTACTTGTTGAATATACATACATGTATGCATGAAATTACATTAATTTTCAATGTGGTTTCTAATACTACTACTATTAGCTCTATTTACCCTGGATTTGTATATAATATACTTAATAGAAAGTGTCATACTTTTAACTCTCTACATATTCCTTATTATAAGATATAACACATTAGCTGATGCTGATTCAAAGGTATAATATTCTCTTATATGGCACTATGGCTCCCAATGACAAAAAGAGAATTTGCTGAGTGCTATGCATGTATGCATTCAAACCATATTATTATTGATAAAAAAATATATAAATGTTAGATATCTTTTGGAGATACTCACATAATTAGTAGTTTATTAATAAAACACATATTTAAGGGATATGAGTAGACATTTAAGTCTTTAGTGCCACTGTATGATCATCCTAGGCTAACACAAAGTAGGTGTTCAACAAGTATTCACTAGATGAATAATTGAATGAATAGATGCTGATTTGGGGAATCAGTCTCTCACTGGAATTTTAAGGTAGAGTAGTTATAAAATTAAGATTTATGGTTAGCACTATGTAAATCACTCAATGTTACCCATTTATAATATCTTAATATTTGCTACAAATTACAAACATCATGTCGCATGTTCTGTGTATCTTCTGGGATAGTGGAAATTAATAAGGGATTCCTAAACATTGCCTAAATCAGATTGGGGAAAAACTATAACCATGTTTATTTATGCTGATGAGCAACCCTCAGTTGTAAAGGAATAAATTTATAGTACAACTGCATGTAAAAATCCATGTATTAAAGGAAGTATAAGAATAACTAGTGGATACTTTATCTTAGAAAATCAGTATCTCAATATTAACATATCTTTAATAATAATACCAATACCAATGTCTTTACTGCTATTCATTATCTTACTATAGATAGTATTTTATAATGATTCATTATTATTTGGTTGATTAACAGTGCCATAAGCATTCAGTTTAATCCATCAGATTCAAACCCAATGGCTATATGGTTTTTCATTTGCACAAGGAGAGATCACATTTGACTGGAGGCCTCTATATGAACCTGAGGATCATGGGACCATTGATGACAAAATCAATTCTTGAAGTTTTTCTATTGAGACTTAAAAAAGCTCTTCTCTGGTCGCATCCAAGTAATTACAAATAAGTGTATAATCAGTAAAATTTATTTTAAGTTTTGAAGTTCATTTAATTTTTATTTCTTATTGCTATAAGCACATTTAACATGCAGTCTACCTGCTTAAATGTTTAAGTGCAGAATACAGTATTGTTAACTTTTGGCACAACGTTGTACAGAGAATCTCTAGAACTTATTCATCTTGTATAACTGAAACTTTATAGCCATTGAACAGCACCTCCCTATTTCCCCCAGCAACCACCATTCTACTCTTTGTTTCTATGCATTTGACATTTTAGATGCTTCACATTAACGGAATCATGCAGTATTTTTCATTCTGTGACTGCTTATTTTACTAAACATGAAGTCCTGAAGGTTCATCAATGCTGTCACAAATGTCAAGGTTTACTTTTTATGGTTGAATAATATGCCATTGTATGTATATACCACATTTTCTTATAAGTGCATCCTTTGGTGGACGTTTAGATTGTTTCCATATCTTGACTATTGTGAATAATGCTGCAGTAAACATGGGAGTACAGATATCTCTTTAAGAGCCTGATTTCAATTTGTTTGGTTATACACCTAGAAGTGGAATAGCTGCATCAAATGGATCAAATGAATCTCTATGCTGTTTTTGATAGCAGTACACCATTTTACATTCCTACCAACAGTGCACAAGGGTTCCAGTTTCTCCACATCCTCAGCAACACTTACTTTTTGTTTATTTGATAATAGCCGTCTTAACATATGTGAGGTGATACCTCATTGTGGCTTTGATTTGAATTTTCCTGATAATCAGGAATGTTGAACATATTTTCATATATCTATTGGCCATTTGTATATCTTTTTTGGAGAAATGTCTATTCAAGTTTTTCAAGTTATGGAATTGCCCATTTTTTAATCAGGTTATGGAATATTTAAGTTTTATAAGCATTAGAACATAATATGGAATAAAAGCGTCTTAGGACAAGTTGCATTTTGTAGTCATTATGAAAGCAGGAAATTTTTAATATATGAAACATTCAGTACTATCTGGATATGTTTCATATGTCATTGCATTTTCTTCATATTTCTCTGTTCATCTAAGTCTGTGGTTGTGATCACTAAGGAATGCTTTTAAAGACAAGAAAGCCAAAGACAGTTGTAGCCACTGGTCAATATCTACTGATCATGGCGGTCACTATTGTTTCTGAAAGCCTGACTAGTTAAAGAGTTATTTTAAGCTAGCTTTGTGCTAGTGATTCTCAGAACAGCAGTGCCTCCTCCAGGAATTCTTACCATTTCTTGAACCCAGGATAAAGCCAAATTATACAAGAATTATGTGCATGATTCAAAAAACAAAACTGAACTCTGGTATTTAAGAAATCTAATTTAATTTTAAACAACTTTTCCATTTGCAAAGGGGAGAGGTTAAATTATTTTGATGAAAAAACGTAAAAATATGAAATCATACAAAATGAATGTTATTAATGGCTGGGTTAGTCAGAAGTCTGTCGTCAGTTTGCAGAATAATTTTAATATACACTTCTTACTATAGCATTTTCGTCCTTTATGTACTTGGTTAACTAGTCTCACACAGTGAGGTTTAAGGCTTATCAAGAGATTAGGACAGTTTTCTTGACTACTTCCTTGACTGTATTAAAATTTCTGAGTGATTCTGGAACTAATTTCAGTATGATTCAGATAAGTTTTTTTTTTTTTAATTGGCAAAGAGAATGGCTCTTGTACTGTCATTACTTTACATAGAGTTGCCTTAAGCTGGGAGTGGCTTGAACATTAGAAAAAATTAAAATGCTAATTATTGCATAGGAAAGACACTGTGTTCTTAGATTCTTTGAGGACATTTGTGATAATTTTAAAAGAAATATCTTAAAAGTCATTTTTCTCCCAGTGGTAGCAATAACTCTATTGTGTTGAATAAAGCTGGTAAACTGCTTGTCATTTCTCATAAGATCATGATTTTCAAGTGCAGTTGTTATCTAGTCTGCTCAGACTCTGCTTCAGACGCTGCATTAGATTGGTCATACCTGTAAAGCTTAGAACTGATAGGTGTTTAGTTATTCAGGTAGTTTATCTGCTCTGTCATTTTTATAGTAAATTCATGTAATTTTCCTATGTTTTGCACCATTAAAACAAAGGGGCCCTTAATAGACTTGTAATATTTTTCTGTATTCAATAAGATCTCTCAAAAGTTTCCAGATGCTAAAATCTATGAATGAATAACTTAGCAAAAGTGTCCTGTGGTCGTGTGTTGCTTTTCCTCTAAAGAAAATCAATAACTCATTTGTGATCTCCTTAACAAAGACCAGAGAAATTAAAATGAAAAAAAATATTTATTGCCTCAAGATGAAGTTATATTTTTGAGTCATAAAGAAACAGCATGAGTCAGGCCATATGCATCCAGTGATGAAGTTTAGAAGCATGTCTGGGGGCAAAAATTTATCACTACTTGACTGAAAAAAAAAATGTTGGCTTTACTTTTCAAGTATTTTTTTTTCATGGTTCCATTACAACCCTATTTTTATATTAGAAGAGGTAAACTGCCAATGCATGAATACAATGAGAGCTGTAGAATTTCTGTATAGGAGGGTTTTAGGGATTTGACGTTAAGCTTCATTTTCATAGCAGAAGGTCTCATTGAATTAACTTCAGTGTTCAGGATAGCTTATTTTGGGGAGGGCTGATGGAGGTTCCGTGGGGGGTGTGGGCTAAAGCTACTTCTTGGCATTGTTCACAGTTCATTGTTTCAGGCCATTTTAGCTGGAACTAGAGAGAGTTACCTTAATATATGACAAAATTCATCTTTTGCTCTAAGAAAGCAACTGGTACTAAAAAATGGTAAGGGAAATGAAGCTAACCTCAGAAGACCCATGTCTCTGAGGTTTGTTAATTATGTGTATGCAAATGGATGCTGCTGTTGTGCAACTTGTAAATGGCTCCTATCTCTTCTTCAAAGCAGTCTCAGCAGGAATTTTTATATGGCAACCTGTTTAGCAGTTAAAGTTAGCTTAGGTACTTTAAAGCAGTTCAGTGAATTAAAGACATGGCTGAATTTTAGCATATTTTAGGATAAATGCATGTCTGCCTCTTTCCTCAATTAGTCCAAATTAGGGAGATTTTACTATATGTTTAATTCCAGTGCTACTGTAGGTGCCTGGTAAAAGAGTAATTAATGTTGCACATTAGTAAGAAGCAGCAATTGATTTTTGGTTCTATGTGGCTTATCTTTTCTGCTTAAGTGCTGATATTTAATTTGTAGGGAAACCTCTAAACAAGTCTATATTTTTATGTTTATCCTCTTCCATGAACTAATGAAATAAACACATTTATTGATTTTGGTATGAGCTTTATTAATGTAGTTAACATGCCTTACTAATGTTATTCCGTGTATTTGGATTAGTACTATTATCGCTTATGAATCAATATTTTTGTTTCAGTTCAAACGAATTCAGAAACTGCAGAAGAAAACACACTGCCTACAAAGAAGAAAGTGAAAGAATTGAGAGTTTTGGATCCTAAAATAGCCCAGAATCTGTGTATGTGATATTTTCTGAGTAGTGGGTGGTGGTGGTGGTGGTGGTGGTGGTGGTGGCCGTGGTGAGAAGTTGTTCAATGTATTTAAACAAACTTGTAGCTTCTTGGAACAGGTATATTTATATCTGCGAGAAACAAAATTCTGTATAAAGATGATTTCAGTTGCCTTTCTGTCATTCAGCCAGAATAGAGACCCCAATAGTTTAACCTTGGTCATTCAGATGAAACTTAAGAATAATAAAGGTTTGGAAAGTACTGATAATTAAGCATTATTAGAGGACATAGTGAGACCTAAGGCAGAGTTGCAAAGACTGTTATTTTTTTCCCCTTTGGCCTAGGCCTGTGAGTGATTGTTTTGGAGTATTCAGTGGTCACATTAGGCAAATCTTTTTTCTTAAATATTCCTTTATATTTGAAATAATGTGATGTGAGCTAGTTAAATGATAACCATTGCACTTTAAAACTGGTTAGTGACCCTTAAAGCCGTTAACAAACCAGTCAACCATTAATAGGCTTTTGCTGAAGTTGTGGGACAGTTTAACTCATCTTCATTTAAGTAGGCCTTAGTTTTACTTTGACATATTCTCCCCTCTGTATTGAATTTCAGCATTTTTTTCTTTTTGTCACCACACTAGACTGTGTTCATATTCTGAGGATACTAAAACACTACACATGAGAAATTTCAACACATCGAGTATTTCTAATTATGCAAAGAAATACCATGGGGGTTTATTTTGTTAAAGAATGTGCTGTAGGGAATCAGATTAAAATAAACAGCTCATCATTCTCATGTCAGTAGGAATGTTCCTGTCAGAAAAACTGTCTCCTGATGGCTGTTGTGAACGTGTACACTGCTTACCTGATAGTACATTTTCTTTGTAAAGTAGATGTTCAGTACGTTTTTGAAAAACACAGTATGATCTTAATTGTTAGTTGATATCTGTCAACATTATTTTTTTAGATTATGGAGATCTCATTTGGTGTTTACGGTAACCGTTTGTCTGGAGAGTGAGGACTTTTTTTGTTGTTGTTTAGGAAGTTATTTATACCTTTTAATAAAAAAAAATCTTGGGACTATATTCATGTTCTGGTGATGAGCACACAAATGTGTTTTAAAAAATATGTTTAGTAGAGGTTAAAGTGGAATGTTGTGTTGAAAGTACTTGCTGAGAAAGTGTAAGCTTTTCTAGGTGTGGTTTATTATCTAATGTCACATAATTATGTATCCCTTGAAGAAAAAGTTGACAAGGGAAATCATGGTTCAACATATAAAGCATCTAATAGTATACCTCTTAAATGTCAGGAATGCAAAGAATATTGATGATTCAGATACTTTAATTTTTTCTTATGTGGGAGAACTGCAAAGTAGGTTGATATGATTTTTTTTTTGTAATTGGTTACTTTATTGTTATTTCTGCAAGTACTGGGTAGGATGCATCTGATGCTCTCGGCACTAAATTCTCCATTGAATTAAAAGGTCAACTTGAAATGAAATCTCTAACTTTTCATGGGCCATTTTGTATCAGCTCAGTCTTGAAATACACACGCAGGTAGTCATCAATGATACTAGTAGGAGTTTTATTTTGTGTATAAATATGCACAAGCTGTAAACATTAGAGACTTAGAGATAACAGGCCATTTTGTCTAGGTGAGTAGTGTAGTCCATCTAATTGAAACTACTTTTGTTTGTTCATAACTCTAAATTTATATCAGTGACAGAAATTTCATATTGAGAGTCTGTGAATGGGAATCAGGTATTTATTAGGACTTAAAATTTTTGATGCTGTTATATTTTTAATAAAATCAATTTTTGTTTTAGCTATCTTCCTAGGATCATATCGTATGTCATATGAAGATATAAAGAACATTGTTCTGGAGGTTAACGAAGAAATGTTGAGTGAGGCCTTAATTCAGGTAACATGCTTATTTTCCTTTTAAAAGTCATTTTCATAGGTGTTTCTGTATTGATATCTTAATGGACTTATGAAAAAATGTTCTATATTCAGACAATAGAATCAGGAGTATCCAGTTGTGTTGCTACAGGACTCAACATAGAAGATCTAGGTTCTAGGTATGTTTCCATTTATTAGATAGATGTCCTTTTAAATATAAGTTTATGCATATGTAGATAGATCATTGTCTGGCACTCACAGTGCATAAAGTTGCATGTATTTCTTTGCCAAAATGACTGTTAAGTAGATGCTATTATTACTGTATAATGCACTTAAGAGCAGAGAGGCCAAGAGGTTAGTTTGCTTAAGATCAACGGGTAAATGGGAAATTTGTCCTTTGTCGGGGACTTAACATGTGCTGGAGATTGTGGCAAACACTTTGCGTATATTATCTCATTGAATCCTACAACAATTCAGTGAGATAAGTACTGTCATCCTTATTTTACAGATAAGGAAACTGAGGTTTAGAGAGATTTCCCAATGTCATGTAGCTGGTAAGTGGCAGAGTAGCAGAGCTGAGATTCAGAACAAGGTCTATCATGACTTTAAAGCCATTGTTCTTTCTGGTCTATTCTGCCTCCTATGGGAAAACTATTTCAGCTTGCTAAACCTCTGTCTCCTTGTCTGAGAAGAGAGGATCACTATGAGGGTTAAGCCAAATAAAGTACTTCATAGAATAATATACTCTACAGATCTAACATATTATTAGAATTCTTGGTATGTCTGGCCCTTTCTGGTTTAGTTTCTGGAAGAACTACACAGATTTTTCACAGAAGGGCATAGTCATTGTAATTTTGTTGTTGTTTAGTTTTGAGCCATTTAATTTGCTTTGATTTTAAGAAGACTGAGTAGTTAATGCTGTACTAATTTGGCCATATCCCCCACAGACTCTCTCTAAATCTCAGAGAACCAGTGTTCATCACTTGAACATTAACGCTGTGTCCATGTGGAAGTTCCTCCTTTTGTAGTGTAGGCTTGTATTACTGTTTACTTCATGTATATGTTTCAAATATAGATATGTTTATTTTCTATAGGACTGAGGTTTAAAGAGTTTATATAGGGTCTTTGACAGGTTATATTAATCTCAACAAGAGTTACACTTTGATAAGAAATCCCTTTGTGGAAAAGGAAAAAAAACAAGGTTTTCTCCGTGCAACTGGCTAGTCCATAATTCTCTGAGCTGAAATGGAGAGCTGATCACATTTGTCCTGCCTAAATCGCATGATTCTTTGTACAGTAGTCAGAATTAGTATACCGTGGAGCCTAAACATGATATAGTTCTCCCTCTTTTTTTTTCCAATTGGATGACTTAAAGTATAATAAGGCAAACCTCTGACTCCTGTTCAATAGTTGAAGCTTTGTAGTGTTTTCTGTATAATCACATTATAGTAAAATAGAACTATATTGTGAAGAGTTAATCAATGTAGCCATTTATTTTACCCTTTAAAACTGTAGCTTTTCCTTCACATGCCTTGGTAAATAAAAAAGAATGTAGATATGCAGAATACTACTATTTGCCAGTCACATTAAAAACATTTGTTTTTTTTTTAAGTCATGTTTTCTACTCTTTAGGGAATGAAAGAAACAAAGAAAGATTCCCGCTTATTAATATCCCTCTAATATGCAACAAGCTTTTAAAGTGCACATATAGAAAACATTGTAGATTTATTTCTTTTTCTGTTTCTCTTTATTTTATAGCATAACAATACATATTTGTTTTTCTCTTTAATTTGGCTAAGCCTGGTCCAGTTGGGAGGAATGAATTGCTTATAATTTGAAGATGGCAAAAAATTATGTCTAAATTCTTGAATTCATTGGTTTAATCTTATCCTATGCAATCAAAATAACTGCTTGTGAAATCACATTATTATGCTAAACCTTAGATTGCCATCTGGGAAGGTGAGTGAAGGAGAATCGCAAATAATAGATACAGCTGGGCTACTTTTTGTGCATGTTAATACCCGGTGCTTCATGCATTTTCTGTTTGTTGTGGATGCATTGACTGGGGCCTGTCTCATTTCTTCCTCTTTTCTAGACCTCTGTGCCCTTTTCTAAGGCTTTATCTCTCTTTTTCACAAATCTGTGTGTGTTATCTCCTGCATCCCCCCCTACAATTTTTGCCTTCTTTTTGTTGAAAGCATACCTCTAAGAACATTTTTTTCAAGCCAGCTTACTTTCCTTCTCAGTGCTAGCTACTCTGAAGTTTCCTCTCATTTCTTACTGTGCCTTAATCAAAACTGATTTTCTTAGTTCTGCTTGTAGGAGAAAACAATTTAACATGTAATTTAATAGTCTGCATGATTGGAATTATGCTGCTTGGGTATGAGATACAAATGGTGAATAACTCACCTGAGTTATTAAAGTTAGCATTTATTTATCCAGACAAATCAAACATCTGAGTATCTCCTCAGATGGTCTTCAGTTGAAACAGGTCCTGGGTCAGTAAAGAGTAAGGTCCTGGGTTGAAACAATTATTTGATTTTCTGGCACCCAGAGGATACTGCTTCTTTCAGGCAAGAGAAAAGACTAGAATCCAGTGCCTTTTTCTCCCTCCCATCCCAGAAACGCTTGCTGCAGTGATACAAGAGTAACATCAATTTGCCATTCAGATGAGCTGTTTACCATGTATGTCTAATTATCATGTAGCATATTGATAATGCATAGAATTCAATATGTATCATCAGATTAACTTTGTTGTAAGTTCTATTTGATTACAGTGCTAAAGTCCATGCATAATCATAGTTTGTTGCTCATTTGAGATAGTTGTCTCCGCATAATAACAAAAACAGCAAAAAACAATCAAGGGCATATTGCTTCCCAAATACTTGAATTAAAACTAGTATTGCCTCTACTAGTATGGGTCAATAAGCTCTTCCCTGCCAGACAACTAATAGGTTTTAATTATTTGATAAATGTTTTACTGAAACAAACAAACCCACAGATACATTTAAAAAAAAAAAAACAACCTTTGATTTAACCAGCAGGATCAAGCACAAATTTAAGGTTATTAATAAAAATACTAATATTTCCTTTATTTCAAATTTAAGTAGAAACTGAATTCACTATGTAAAAGAAGGTGAAATGTCCTAAAATACAGGGATACATAGAAACATTGAAAAAGCACACCATATCCTGAGATCGTTGAAGAGCTTTTAATATCCCTATGAGTTAGTTCCAAATAATGCATACTAAATTTAGGTGATTTGCAGAGTCATTATTTCAGCTTGGAAAATATGCTTCAGTGTAATTTAATTTGATCTATTAAGAGAGTAGAATCTAAGATCAGTTAAGTGTTTTTAGGATATCAGTGGTAAATAAAATACTGTAGAAAAATTAAGTATTTGTAGACACACATGTAAAACACTGACAAAGAAATGAAGCTAGCAGTTTAAAAAAGTGTTTAAGGTATTAAGGGAAAAATAAAACTGTTCATTTTTAGAACATTAGTGCATTAGAGTGATTCTCAAATGTTGAGGAGATAGATTCATGTTGGTAGGGAGACTGTGGTCATATTCACAAAGCATATGCAGAAAAAAGATTGACATAGAAGGCAATACAATATAATCATAGAATAATTTCCAAAGATGTGTATAAAGCAGGGATTGATAACCAGGAGTTAAAGCACACTTTGGGGACTTATGGGGGGAATTCAGGGGCTTATGAACTTAGATGAAAAATACTGCATCTTTATTTTCTTTAACTTCTCACTAATATTTAGCATTTCATTTGATTAACAATGTATGCAACAGACCAAAGTAGTATTAACAATACCTCTAAGTTTGTCTTTAATAGAAATAATATTTTCATATCATATCAATTTGTGGCATATACCTTGAAATATTGTTTATAGTCATTATTATTTCAAAATTACACTAGTCATTAAAGCTGCCACTAGATATTATTTCTTTGATTTCCTGAAAAATACATCTATTATTATTTCAGAATTAATTTTTATAAATATGTTGATAAGTTTCAGTATAATAGGTTTCCTTTTATTCCTATGTATTTTACTTTATTCTGAGGAGGGATCCATAAGCTGGTGTTCATGGCACAAACAAAAGGTTCATGGCACAAACAAAAGGGTAGAAACTGGTACAAAACTTTCCCAGTCAAAATGGCAGACATAAATCATTCTCAGCTTGAGTCCCCCTAGCAACTATCCATAGATGACACCATTGTGAAAACGTCAGACCCAGGGTTGAGACTAAAGCACACTTCTAGATCACAGAGACCAGGAAGGACCACATTAGAGGGATAAGAGGAGCGGCTATATTTTGACCACATTACCCCTTTCCAGATAGGCACAATGCCTCGCTGAGAGAACCACCACCTGGGCCTATGGTTTTTCCAGTGGGAAAATAGAACCCTCGTAGACATCCAACTCCCTCAGCATTGTGGGAGCTTCTGAGAAGATCCACTTGGGATTCACCTCATAGAGATTACTGGGGGAAACTGTGGTAGTTGATTATGGGGGAATCACATAGAGGTGGAGAAGGTAGGTGGAGCTTATAGTAACCAGTCCTCAGATCTTGGCAGACAATGTTCCAAATGTGTTACCTACCCTTATTGTTGTAATCATTTCACAATATATACATAAAATATATATATATGAAAAAGATATTCTATACCTTAAACTTACACAATGTTATATGTCTCAATAAAACTGGAAAAAATTTAGAAAGATAAAAGTTTCCCAGTTAAATGACTTAGATTTTTCCCTTAAAAATATTCCAAAATAGTAATATGATCAGTGTTTGCCAGGCATTAGTGGGGAGGGAAGGATGAATAGTAAGATCACAGAGGCAGTGAAACAGTTCTGTATGATACTGTAGTGGTGGATACATGTCATACATTTGTCAAAACACACAGAAGGCGCAAAACAGGTGAACCCTAATGTAAACTCTGGGCAATATTGATGTGTCAATGTAGATTCATTGATTGTTCCAAATGTACCACTCTAAT